TGCAACAGCAACACCAGCCCAGCCCCCGCGGGCTCCGCTCCAGGTCCCCGGCGGCCCCGTGGTCACCCCGTGCTGCGCGGCCACTCATTAATGGGGCTGGTGCAGAGGCCAAATCATCCCAGGAGGCCGCCGCGGGTGGGCGTCCTGGGGGGGTAGCAGGTGAGCGGGGAGGAAACGTATGTAAACCAGGCTCCACTAATAGCCGTCCAGGAAGTGAAGGTGGGCCAGCCCTCCTGTCGCTTTGATTCACGGTGAAGGAGCAGCGAGAGGTGTGGGTGCCGCCCCCCCCCCCCCCCCCCCCTCACGGGGAGGAGGAGGCTGGCCCTAGGAGGCTGGCCTGAGTTGGGCTTTGGCCCCAGGCTCGCGCTGATGAAATTATTAGCAGTGATTTGCAAAGCGGTGCCCCAGAGAGAGCTCCACCTCCACATACAGCTTAACCTACTTGAGGTGGAAGAGTCTGTGGGGAGCCTGTGGGAAAACAAGCCATAAAAATGGGGGCTCTCCTGAAGTCCAGCAAGAGGCACCGAGAGAGCGCCCCCACTGGTGACAACCAGAAACGCCCGCGGACACATGAAGGTCCCCTGGAGAGACAGGCCCTGGCTGAGGACCCCTGGTCTAGAGAGAAGGAGGCTTAGTGCTCAGAGACTCGGGCTCCTGGGAAGCGCCTCCGGAGACCCCCCCCCGCCCCTGCCCCCCCGTTTGTTCTAAGTCTCTGCTCAGCGAGTGGTGCGCTGACCGCAGTGGTGTCCAGGGCATCGTGCCCAGCAGGGCGTGGAGGATGCCCGCGGGCTGATATCTGGGTTTCATAGACGCTTCCCTCTGCCCGCCCCCGGCACTGCCCTACACACTAGTCTTGAAAATGCACCATTAAGAACACACCCCTCTCCCCCAAACCGCACTCAGAAGGCAGCGTTGTTTGATCCAAACGATCAATCGATCGTGGCTTGGAAAATTCTCAATGGGCAGCCCCAGAGGCTCAATAGGAAGGTCTTGGAGATGTTGTGTGCGTCCCAATCCGGTCCAGGACCTGCCGACAAAACAGAGAGTCACCTCCAAGCAGAGAGGAGGTCTGCACGGAGGCGCCCTGCTGGGAGCGGCTGAGTGAGGGGTTTTCGGGGAGGGGGGGTTGTATGTTTTCTTAATATTAAAGCTTGATTGTTTTAGGGGGGGTTGTATGTTTTCTTAATATTAAAGCTTGAGTGTTTTATTAAAAATTTTTTTTATAAAATATAACTTTCTTTAAAAAAATTTTTTTTATTGATTTCAGAGAGGAAGGGAGAGAGAAACATCAATGATGAGAGAGAATCATGGACCGGCTGCCCCCTGCACACCCCCAAACATCAATGATGAGAGAGAATCATGGATGGGCTGCCCCCTGCACACCCCACCACTGGGGATGGAGCCCACAACCCGGGCCTGTGCCCTGACCAGAAATCGAACCGCGACCTCCTGGTTCCTAGGTCAACGCTCAACCCCTGAGCCACGCCGGCCGGGTTGTTGCCAGTCCTTTCGGTGCATATCTACGAGCGGCACTGCTGGGTCAGATGGTGATTCGCGGTGTAACTTTTTGAAGTGCCGGCAAACCAGCATTTTCTTCCCGCGCTGATAAATGTTGGCTTCCTTCCTTCTCCTGCGGTTCACCTTCCAGCACTCACCCCGGAGGCCTCCATCGTCTCCATCGCCTACAGAGTCCTGGAGGTCTTCCCCCAAGGCCGCCGCGTGGTCATCACCTGCCACTCGCAGATGGCCCCGCCCGTCACCTACTCCCTCTGGGGGAGCCGGGACATTGAAGTTTCCAAGAAGGTGGTGAGCACCCGCGACCCCGTCTCCTTCCACATCAACGTCACGCTCAAGTCCAGGCCAGACCTGCTCACCTACACCTGCCAGGCCAGCACCGCCTGGGGCCTGCGCCAGGCCAGCGCCACGCTGCAGATGTACTGGGAACTGTGGGCCAGTGAGTGCAGGGGGCACAGGGGCTGGGAGTGGAGGGCTGGGGGCTGGGCAAGAGTTGTCAACCTTCCAGGGCCTCTCTCAGTCCCTTGGGGCCTGGCCACAGGCGTCACAGGCGGGGTTTAGATCCTGGCTGGGCCCCCAGGGGGCTGAAGGGAGAGTGAAACAGTGCCCCGGGGCTGAGCTCGACCTCAAGCTGATAAAGGGCGCAGGTGGGGTTTTATCTGGTTTCATCTTCTCAGCAGCCGGGTCGAGGTCCCAGCCTCTGGAGGAGGAAGCTTAAACTCTCGGAGATTAAGACAATTGTCCCAGGCCCCGGCCTGCAAGTGGTTCCCAACCCCACTGCACGGAGCTCCAAGGCCTGCGTCCTTCCCGTGCTACCCTGAGCTTCCCCCAGGGGTCCTTCTGGTGGGAGGTGTGGGGTGGCAGCCGGAAGCGTTGCGGACCGGGGCTGGGACAGTGACCCTGTGGCCTGAACCTCCCCCAGGGGGCTGAAGGGAGAGTGAAACAGCGCCCCGGGGCTGAGCTCCGACCTCAAGCTGATAAAGGGCGCATGTGGGGTTTTATCTGGTTTCATCTTCTCAGCAGCCGAGGGTGAGAGCGGGGTCGAGGTCCCAGCCTCTGGAGGAGGAAGCTTAAACTCTTGGAGATTAAGACGGTTGTCCCAGGCCCCGGCCTGCAAGTGGCAACGGGTGGTTCCCAACCCCACTGCACAGAGCTCCAAGTCCTGTGTCCTTCCGTGCTACCCTGAGCTTCCCCCAGGGGTCCTTCCTGGTGGGAGGCGTGGGGTGGCAGCCGGAAGCGTTGCGGACCGGGGCTGGGACAGTGACCCTGTGGCCCGAACCTGGAGGTGGCCTGGGGAGGAGAGCCCTGTGTCTGGAGCACTTCAGGTGGAGGGTTCAAACCCCCACACTTCCAGGCTGTGGGTTCTTGGGCAAGTCACTCAACCTCTCTGAGCCTCGGCTGCTTCAGCTACAAAACAAAGATGGTAGCACCTACTCCAGGGGCACCGAGGGGCAGTGGGGGCTCTCAGTCAGGGGTCAGTATCGGACCAGGCATGGGCTGTTCAGAGCACCAGGCGGAAGGCCTGGGGATTCTAGAATCTACTCTTCTAAGTAGCAGTTCTTGTCCTGAAGGAGCTTGTATTTCAGCAGAAGAGTCAAGACTGGAAGATTAGAAGCAGGGTTGCCAGATAGATTTCGCGTAGGACGTACTCATACTAACAAATGATTTGTTGTTGCCCTGGCCGGTGTGGCTCAGTGGGTTGGGCATTGTCCCGTGCACAGAGAGGTCGCCAGTTCGATTCCCGGTCAGGGCACCTGCCCAGGTTGTGGGCTCGAGCCCCAGTAGGGAGCATGCAGGAGGCAACTGATCGATGTGTCTCTCTGACATCGATGTTTCTCTCTCTGTGTCTCTACCCCTTCCTTCACTCTCTCTAGCGGCAGACGCCGCCGTACGGGCAGCCCGCCAACTTCTCCTTCCCGCTGACCCAGACACCGGCCTGGCTGCAGTGCCAGGCCCAAAATGGCGCCGGTGTCCAGAGCAGCCCCCTCACGCTGGTGCCCCCAGGTGAGCGGGCCCCTGGTTTCCAGAGGACAGCTGGCACTGCTGGGTAGGTGGGTGGGAGGTGCCACGGGCAGGGCAGGGCATCCAGAAGCAGCCATGCCGACCCTGGCCCTACCTGCCTCCCTCCCAGGCCAGCTGCCCAAGGCCGCCACCTTCGTGCTGGCTGCCAGCCTCACCTCCATCGCAGCCATCACCTCGGGGATGCTGGGCTGGACCGCGCAGAGCAGGTAGGAGGCGGGTGCGGGATGGGGGAGGAGTGAGAAGAGCTGGTGGGCTGTGTGGCCCAGCAGAGGCCCCGCTGGAGAGCAGAGGGTGGTGGGCTTTAGGGCAGGGCCGCCTCCAGGGCAAGGAAAGGACCGTATCGTGGTGGGTGGCTTGCAGGAGTTGATGGAGGACCTACTGTGCGCCACGTGCCTGCTGAGGGCTTGCTGCTTCCTGGCTTTATGTGACCATGACCCCTGGTCCCAGCTGCCCGCCCTGCAATGCAGTCAGCTCGCCTCTGGGTGGCACACTACCCTGTGGTCCTACGGGTCTGAGGAGGGATGTGGGGATGGGGGACATGCCTCTGGGACCAGGTGGGACCAGGGGCTCTGACCTCCATGGGAACCGTGGAGTCAGGGGTGGGGCCTCCTGGGGTCCCCTCTCCCAGGTCATCATTTCAGTGACTTGCAAAGTGACCAGGGGAGTGGTTCCCGGCGGCATGGGGCACACACCCCTCAGGGGGGCAATTTGATTTTTAAGGGGGGCAATTTGAGAATGAGTTATTAACAGTGAATGTTTTGCATTTCTTATTATTCTAGGGGCTTCATAGACAGTATAGAAATACATATTGTGACGTATTTATGCATTTCAGGTCTCCATTATGTTTTGAAACTTTATTTGCTATTTTTTCCTATCACTTCATATTATTATTATTATTATTATTATTATTAACAATTTTTCAGTGATTTCCTCCCCAGGACTTCAACTGTCCTTCCGTTCTATTTTTCTCTTTCGTGGATGCCATGCTCTTTGATTTTTATTGATTTCAGAGAGGAAGGGAGAGGGAGAGATAGAAACATCAATGATGAGAGAGAATCATTGATAGGCTGCCTCCTGCACGCCCCCGACTGGGTATCGAGCCTGCAGCCCGGGCATGTGGCCCTTGACCGGAATCCGACCTGGGACCCTTCCGTCCGCAGGCCAATGCCCTATCCAGTGAGCCAAACCGGCCAGGGCTCCTCCGACATTTTAACAGGAGTGTCTAAGGCAGTGGTTCCCAATGTGGGGCACACACCCCATAGGGGGGCAATTTGATGTTTAAGGGAGGCAATTCGAGAATGAGTTATTAACAGTGAATTTTTTGCATTTCTTATGGTTCTAGGGGCCTCATATACTGTATATAAATATATATTGTGACGTATTTATGCATTTCAGGTCTCTATTATATGTTTTGAAACTTTATTTGCTATTTTTTCCTATCACTTCATATTATTATTAACCATTTCTCAGCGATTTCCTCCCCAGGACTTCAACTGTCCTTCCGTTCTTTTATTTTTCTCTTTCGTGGATGCCATGCTCTTTGGAAGCTTGTTGAGACCAAGTGAATGGCCTTTCAGGCTTCCTCCCCGTGACTAGGAGTTCACTGTTTGAATAATTAGAATTCTATGTCACAGGGAGCGGGGGCATCAGGATGTTAGAGATGCTTAGGGGGGCGAGGCCAAGAAAAGGTGGGGAACCCCTGGACCTGGGCCTCTGTGTTGTGCAACCACAGGCCCCATCAGCTCCCGCCTCCCCTGCTTCCTGACACTGGTCCCCGCCTCTCCCCCCCCCCCCCCGCATTGCCCCAGGGGTCTATCTAGGCCCCTTGTCTTCTCTCGGGGTCCCTTCCTCCTTCCCAGAGGCCAGACCCATGGGCGACCCATGTCACCTCTCTGAGCCTCAGTTTCCCTTCTACAAAATGGGGTGTAGAGACCAGACCCCCACTCACCACGTGACCTGGGCCAGCACTTCCCCCTGGTGATTCGGTGCCCCCTTCACTTAGTGGGGTGACAAAGCCTCCCCCCCCCGCCTGCACTGATGCCCCTGGTGCCATAAAACTCCCAGAGGCCTGGAGGGGGGGCTGGGAGGGGGGCTCCCTCACCTGGAGTCTCACCTCCTTTGTCGTCCAGGTTGTGACCAGTAGGTGCAGGCTCAGCAGAGCCCCCACGAGCCCGGTCCTGGCCGGACAGGAGGAGCCCCTGGGAATGAAGAACAGCCCGCCAGCCCGGGCCCTGCTGCTCTGTAGCGAGGATGTCAAGATGGGGGTGGGGGGTGGCGGGAAGAAGAGGTCCGGGGAGCTCCCCCCCCCCCCCCCCGTACTGCTGCCCCTGACGCCATAAAACTCCCAGAGGCCTGGGAGGGGGGCTGGGAGGGGGGCTCCCTCACCTGGAGTCTCACCTCCTTTGTCGTCCAGGTTGTGACCAGCAGGTGCAGGCTCAGCAGAGCCCCCACGAGCCCCGTCCTGGCCGGACAGGAGGAGCCCCTGGGAACGAAGAACAGCCCGCCAGCCCGGGCCCTGCTGCTCTGCAGCGAGGATGTCAAGATGGGGGTGGGGGGGTGGCGGGAAGAAGAGGTCCGGGGAAGCTGCCTGTCACCATCCCTGCAGGTCCAGGAAGGAGGTGGGGGGACTGAAAAGGCCCAGCTGCACCCCCACCCAGGGCCTCTTCCCCCCACTGGCTCCCCTCTTCCCCGGGGGCACCCCATCTCCTAGTGGCCAGTCCTCTGGCCCACCTGGCCAGCACCCCCTCATTGACCTGACCAGCAAAGGAAGGCTGTCTGGGTCCCCATCCTCAGCCTGCACCCCTCCCCTCACCGCCTTCCCTGTTCATTGCTCTGAACCAGCTCAGGAAAGAACTGGATTAAACTCTGCCCCTGCTGTCGCTCTGGAACCCCGTTTCTGTCCGCACCCCATCCTGGAGCCTGGCCGTCTGAAGTCCCGCCGCCTTTCACCGCAGGGAGGGGGGTTGGGGGCACAGCAGGGGAAGAACTGGGGTGTCTCCACCACACCCCAGGCTCCCTCGAGAGGAGGGGGGAGAGGGACCGGCCAGGCAGGGCGGGTCCAGGCGG